CACACACACACACACACACACACACACACACACACACACACACACACACACACACACACTCCTTCATTTATTAGTTAGGAGCCCTCAGTTGTTTTTAATCTCTTTCTCTTCGTGTTTATGCTTTATATTGTGTGTTTGTGTTTTAGTACGGCGAGGCCTGATCATGGCCGTGTACCTGACCGTCCTGTTGTCCCTCTACTTGATTCCCCTCGGGTTGTATTCTCCTTGTATCAAAGAGAAGGGAACCCTGGGCCCTGCACCGGCTCTCATTGGCCACAGAGGAGCCCCTATGGTGAGCAAAAACACAGTACACAGTCCTGTACACTAAAGTGAGAGAGCAGCAGTATATCAATTGTCCTAGTGTCACATGTGACAAGGTAAAACAGAGAATTTTTCTTTCTTTGTAACAGAAATAAGCAGATTTTGATTTTCTTTTCTTAAACAAACAGTTACTGTTCATGAGAGTAAAGGATTTTTTACATGCTGTTGTAAAACCTTTTGGTCTGTAAAAGAGTTTTAAGCCTGAATGTGACACAACATAAATGAGTGTAATGTGAAATATGTTCTTGGGCACCGCTCAGGCCCTGAACTGACGCAAAAACAAAGGGAAGCTCACATCCTTCGTGTGTTTTGTTCAGTGCTGAGAAAAAGTCCACTGCATGCACTGACTGCTACTGCAAGTTGCTGTTCTCTGTTGATCTCATTCTGCAGCTCGCTCCAGAAAACACCCTGATGTCCTTTGAGAAGGCGGTGGAGGCTGGGTGTGACGGTCTGGAGACGGATGTCACCATCAGGTCAGCGAGGAGCTCTCTGCGAAAGCATGTGTGTTCAATTATGGTACAATGGCCCTCAGAGCCCAGTGCAATGCAGCCTAAACAGTATTTAGAAAACATGCTGCAAAGTGACAAAGCAATCACATGTCAGCAGCTTGCTTTTTCACATAATCACTGCACAGTCTCAGTTATTGTAAAACACTTTCAAAACTCTATTGAGCAGAGCACCCTGGGCTTTATTATGCAAACGGCGTCTTATTGACTTTGTTCTGTGTGATTTTTGTTCTGTATTTATTGCTCATTTAGTAACTGTTATGTAAAGTGTATATTTTGAATAACTTGTTCAGCACTTCGGTCAGCTGGGGTTATTTAAAATGTCCTATAGAAACAAACGTGGCTTTAAAACCGCAACCAAATACGCAGATGCTGCAGAATCAACAGTGGGCGTGGCCAACGACTGTCTCGATTGATCATGTGACCAAACATTTGTGGATGTCTTGCCATCTTGTTTCACTTCCTGTTAATTGTGGTGTTTTTTTCTGCTGATGACTGATCTGATTTCATATTAACGTTACAAAATGTGAACTTCTAATTGCAACAGCTGCAACAATGAACCACAGTCTTCTTTATCTAATAGTATAACATTTCTGATTCCTGCAGCGTTGGCTCTATTACTTTTGGTTCTTTTTGTGGCGGACACTTTTCTACCACATGGTATTTAATTATGTGCAAAATACAGTCAGATCCAGTGACATTTTTTGTAGTTTTGCTTCTCTAAACCAGCTCAGATTTAAAACCATTCAAGACTGTTTAATGCTTAGATCCATTTTGAAACGCAGTCGTCCATTTTTGCAATTGGACAGTTGACTGATACGCAGTCCTTTTAGGGAGATAAAAGATCTGAAGTAGATTCCAAATCCGGTATATTTTCACTGGTATATTCAATATGAGATCCAAAGAGATACTGCCAACGGTTGCTCCTGACTGAGCCTGGTTCTGCCGGAGGTTTCTTCCTGTTAAAAGGGAGCTTTTCCTTCCCACCGTCGCCAAAGTGCTTGCTCGTAGGGGGTCATCTGATTGTTGGGGTTTTCTATGTATTATTGGTCTTTACCTTACAATATAAAGAACCTTTAAGCAACTTTTTTTAATTGATTTGGACGTCACTCATTAATAAACTACTGTTATGAGTGTAATCCCTTACATTTACAAAAAATATTGTTTATTAAAGTCGAGTATAAAGAATAAGAATCAAAGTATCCAATAAATCTAATGATAATCGACTTTTTGAGGAATTCATTGGCATTTTAAATTCCCCAAGTTTGTGTAATAGTGAATGTAAAGTATTGATAAAAGAATTTGAGCCAGTAGCTCTCTACATACATGCTGTCATGACATTATTATGTTCCAGTTCTGTTTCTAAAGACAATCACTGAAGACCAAGCACTTAGCCAGGTCTCAGTGAAGCCTATTAAACTTTAAATACAATAACCTTTCAGGCAAGCTGACTTTTCTGTTTCTGGAAAGCTCTCTGCCCCATTTAGAGTCTCATACTGTTGTCCTGTCCTTGTAGTTTTGATGGAGTGCCTTTTCTGATGCATGACTACACTCTGCAGCGGACGACCAACATCCATGAAGTTTTCCCAAACCGGACCAATACTCCAGCTGCCAGGTTTACCTGGAACGAGCTGGAGAGCCTGAACGCTGGGGACTGGTTCCTGTCTGTGAGTCTGCCATTTAATGACCTTTCCCATGATAGTCATAGCTATTCTCTGATGTTTGAAAAATGTAACCAAAGAAAAAAAGCTCTAAAAAAGTAAGGAAGAATTATTGATTTTATTCACTGCATGTTTGAGGGGTCAGCTAATAACCTCTCTGATATTCTTTTACCTGCTGTTTGCCGTAGATGGGCTCAGAGCACAGCTGCTAATCTTTTCTATTCAAATAAGCCATTTGAATTGTTTTGAGCATGTCTACCTGACACACTGGGGCAAACTCAGGACATGTTGGAGAGATTGCATCACTTGGTTGGCCTGGAAATGCGTCCCAGAAGAGGGTTAGAGCGGGAGGAGGTAGCTGGGGAGAGAGAACCCTGGCCCAGACTAGAATAAGTGGCAGAAAATGGATGTACGGATGTAATGAAATGCTAAAAAAGGAAAAAAAAGATTGTTTGTTTACTATATTCGAGGTTTAAGAGTGTTACTATAACTACAGGAGGGAGTTGAGCATGTTTGGACACAAATGAATTCCTCATGACAACAGCCAAAAATGGGGGGGGGAAAAAAATCACCTGGCCAATGAAAAGCATATCACATGTCATATGAAATCACTGTATTGATTGGTTATTGATGGTCACCCCCTGCAGCACAACCCATTTGGCACGGCTGGCTCTCTGAACGCAGACGACCGACAGCGAGCTGGAAACCAGTCGGTCTGTAGCCTGCAGGCCTTCCTCCAGCTGGCAGCTCAGACGGGCAAACTCGTGATCTTCGACCTCTATCGGCCACCCAGAGATCACCCTTTCAGAGACACCTGGATCCAGCGCACGCTCGAGGTCATCCAGAACGAATCATCCATCCATTCCTCACAGGCGAGGCTTATTTATTTCTCTATCACCAGACTCCACTGTGAAATGTTGTAATTTAGCATTTTACCGTTTGAAAAGAGTAAAGAGTGCAGTTACTGTGAGTGAGTAGTAGGTAACACTGCTTGCGTGCCATATCTAGGTGCTTTGGCTGCCATCAAATCTCAGAGCTCTGGTCCAGGAACTCGATCCTGAGCTCCAGCAGACTTCAGGCAGTCGGCTCCCTCTAGAGGAGCTCCAGAGTAACCACATCGTCAAACTCAACCTGGACTACACTTCCATGTCTGCTGAGCTCATCAGGTAACACAAGTGTGTGTGTGTGTGTGTGTGTGTGTCTATACTGTCCTCCTCCTCAGTTTAGTAATATTCATGACTTTCTCCTCTCCTGTGTGTAGGGAGTACACTGCAGTAAACATCACCACAAACTTGTATGTGATCAGCCAGCCGTGGCTCTACTCTCTAGCCTGGTGTGCTGGAGTGCATTCAGTCACCACTAACGCCCCCCAGCTGCTCAGCACCATCAGTTCCCCTTTGTTTATCATGGTGAGTTCAAGCAATGCGCTTCATGTCTGACATCGACCTGTTCTCTCTCTTTCTTACTGCAGATGCTTTTATTTTGAAACACCTGACCTAGTGATGATACCATATAGTTAGGAGTGGGGAGTAAGGGTATCAATTTTGAGGTAGTTTGGATGAGGTGCGGTTGTAGTATCATGTAGTGGGGCTTTACCTTTTATGGTCCAAGCTGCTGAAGCAACCTACCAAATCACATCAGTCATCCAGCATAATCAGGGATTAAACCAAACTCATAGCAACTCCTATTTAACCTTCAGTAGTCCGGTTTCTGGTTTTAATGATTATTTTACCCTATTCCTGCTTGTTTAATCGATTGCAATTTTTAGGTTCTAATAATTGTTCATGCATGCGTGTTTTAAAGTGTCCTGCAGTTGAGTGTTTTATGTTTTTTATCTGTAAAAACACAACGTACACCGTGTATATCGTGAGCTTGTGCTACATAAATAAAGTTTTGCTTGCTTTTGTTGTTACATTTGTTTCTTATATCTGTTTTAATACATCATTTAGTCATCTAAAGCACTAAAACACATCTGTAGCATGCTAATTTATGTTATAATACACATTGTTACATATCATTGGGCAATTCTTTACCAGAGAGGTGTTGAAATCTTTTCAAGTGTGTTCGCGGCTTTGATTAACTCTTGATATTTCTTTTTATAGTACTACAGCCGGCAGGCCTCCTGGTCGATTAAGTGCTTGGTTACTTTAACTTGCAGCACCATCTTGTGGTAGAAATTAGTGCTACAAGCTTTATTTAATCACAGGAATTTACAGTAATTATCAAGATGATAAAAGGAATGATAAAATGAACTGTGGTTTTATCTGTTACCCTTTTATTATTGTTTCATGTGTGAAAGATATTAATATTCACCTGTTCACTTCCATACGGTCTCTTCTGATCTGCTTCTCAGAGTCCCGATGAGTATAAACTGATGTGGATTCTTACTGATCTGATGTCCTTTGTGCTGATCCTCCTTATCTTCTTCTTCCACAGGTGGAAAACGCACGCACGCACACACACACACACACACACCTACCTCGCATCCAATACATCCAACCTCTATTCTGATGTAATCGCGATGTTTCGCTCTCTATCAAGATGAAAATGTGTTTTCAGATGGAGAGAGAGAGAACTGGCCTTCTGCACGGGCAGCAGGATCAAGTTGGAAGGTGGCACTTACAGCAAATTTAAAAAGGGTAACTTACCATAAAATAAACGTCAGACTTAAAAAAAAAAAAAAAAAAACTAGAAGGAAACTGGAGTCTAGATATGTGACGCACACAGACATTTTCATCTCTAGGCTAAATTAAAATCACCCCATTGAGAGTAAACAATGATTTTTTTCTCTGTACATTATATTAAAAATCTGGTGTTTAAAAACCCCTAATTACATCAAATTAAAGAATCAACTAAATGGAAATATAACCATCAGATTGGTTACATTTCTCAATAAAAATTAATTTATCATCAACTATGTACTTTGTATTTATACATGTAGAAAATATAATCTAGTATATATTGGGAAATTGCCATTATAAGGTTGTTTACAGACTTAAACTGATTTATTTTCTTACAGTATAGGTTTTCACAAAGATTTAATTATGAGATGAGGAATTAGACGTACACTGTAATCAGTGCAAAACAAACAGGTCTAACATCTTATTTGCAATGCAAATGCAATGATTATAAATCAACAATTGTTTTTCACAGTTGCAAAACATTTTTGGGGAGTCCTGTGTTAATACAATGTGATGGAATTAGTGTGATTTGTGATTATTTCTCATCTACCTCCTGTAGTTTAAGGAGCTGGTTTGATATTTCACACTGAGGACTGAATTAGAGGACTGAAAATGTTAACAAGCAAAAACAAAAAAGAAAAAAACACAAACAAGTGTGTGTGTGTATAATGTTTCCAGCTTGTGAAAAAAATGAGGATTTAAATTTTTTTCATGGGGGTGTTTGAACTGTTGGACAGAAAAGCCAAAACATCTAAGATGCCACCTTAAATTATGGAAAAATACTTTTACATTTTTAATTTATAGTTAATTTTATAGTTTAATACACCCTTTAATAACTCCATGACCTTTTCTATAACATCTTTCATTCTATATAAAATCAGTCAGTACCTCCCATCTGAACCCCTCAGAATCAGCTGATTGTTTTTTTTTTTATGACAACTTTAGTATATTTAATGAAGCCACACAAACTTTTACCTTCATACTAAGAAAATATTCCAAGAACACAAGGCTGGGTTGGACTCATTTTTATATTATTCATGTTTTTCCAGGATTTTTTGGAGCTCTCATAACGTAAATATGGGAGATATCAATATGAAAAAGTTTTTTTAGGGCTAAAAAACACAGTTTAAACAAACAAACTGCAGATAAATCAATTCCCACTGCCACAATATGTGTATCATATCCTGAGAACCTGCCTCTTTGAAGCTAAAAGAGGGCACCCAAAAACATGAGATATCATTGGAAAGACCAGCATGTCCTCTGTAGAGCACATCATCAGGACTTATTAGGGTAGCTTAATTAAGTCAAAAGATATAGACCAAAAACAAATGTTCATTACAGAGGATATAAATGAATAGGAGTCGTATTATGAGGATATAAGTGCATAAAATTGCCATATGTAGCAACTTAACTTAAAAACTGAAAATTCATATATGCAAATGGGAGTTTCCTGAAGGATTTTTCTGGTCCAGGCTTTATGGGGCTAAAAACCCAACATTTTGACTTATGGACAGCTAATTTTTCTTTCTTCTGACTATATCTTCTCTCTCAGAGCTGAGTGATATCTGGTCGGTCTCCAGTGGGAACTCGGCAGCGGAAAGGATGCCAAGCCTGGCGGCCGTAACAGAGCACTAATGTCTGCTGAGCCTTCGAAGCCCAATCACACACTGCCAACCTCGAAAAACTTCTGTGTCTTAATGAATTAAAGTGTCTGAAACAATGCTTCACTTTTTATTTATCTGGTTTAGCGTTTTAAATAATTTTACGTTAGACTTAAAATGATTAGCAACAGCTAGCAGCTTAGTTTAGCTTAGCACAATAACTGGAAACACAAGGGAACAGCTAGCCTGGCTCTGGCTAAAGCTAACAAAAATCCAGTGTCTTATTAGATGGCACTTGTTAAACCTTTCCCACAGGGGCCGTTTTAGTCAACCTGATTTTATATTCCTCTATTTAAATTAATGAGAAACTCTTTATATTGAGCTGTATTAAACAGTGTCAAATAATCAGGCGCGCTAGTAATGTAAGCCAAAAGCTCAGACTCCAGAGCGGTTAGCTCAACATGCTAACTTTTTTTCAGTGGCAGAAACAATTTTCTATACTAATTTGGTTATCTAGATTCTAGGACACAAAAGGTAAGCCCACCTGCTGTTCAAACCTTCTGTTTGTCTAAGGAAGCCAGTCAGAAGACAGTTGGCTTAAATGGGATGAAGCTAAAACGGCATATGAGATGTTTTAAATATGATATTTTAACAGAGTAACTACAACAACAACAACTAAACTGTGGAGCTGAAAATGAGCCAAATAGGACCACATTATAAAAACTTGGACTTAAGCAATTTTTCAGGTAATGAGCATTAACTGAGTAGAATATACATTTTTAAGAAGCGCTAAAATATTATGGAGAAAATTTTGTTTCAGAAGTGTCACAGGTGTATGGTATGATTTTGAGTGCTTATAATTGCCTGTTACATTTCACAAACAACCATTTTAACACATTTGATTATTTAAAATGTGTATGTTAGAACCTGAATAAATACTGATAATGTATGCACACATTTTTAAATTAAACATCACAAATAAGATCATTTTTGCATTCAAATAGCTTTCTATAAAAAGCTCAATCTTTGAGTATACCTATTTGTATTTGAAAGAGATTACTTTTAATTAAAATGTTGTAATTTATACATGATTGTAAGGATATAGCTTACAAGTAAATATCAGAATGAAAGTTAATTTACAGCTGGTACTTGGATGCCTTTGATCATGCAGGGAAATTTCTCTGGCATCTAAAATCTCATGTTGCAACCACACAGGACTCTTTGGAAAATGTTATTTATTATTTCTACAACATAAGATATGTGGTCATATGGATGAAACAATTTCTGCTTCATAAACATCATCCAGAACAAACATAACTCTGTTATGATTTACAAATTAATACTAAATTCATGTATTAAAAAAAGAAGAGACAAATACGAATCATTTACCAGCTACAGTACACATGGAGACACTGAAAAAAAAATCCCTACTGGATACAAAGAGTGCTTGAACTTTGTGGCACACACATGGGATGCTAACGATGAAGTAAAAGCAACATTACTCGTATTTCCTCCACGTTAGTGCTATGTTCAAGTCCAGATAGTGTTCACAGGTTTGGAGATTGTTCCTGATGTGGTTGAGGTTGACTGTGAAAATTGGCAAAGTGTAACAAATCGATCAAATCAAAGAAGAAGAAAAAAGGAACACATCTGAAACGTACAATGTTTTTTTTTTTTAAATGTCATAACGTTGATTTAATAACCTTGGGACAACTGTAAGCATAAATAAGAACACTACCTACAAGTTAAATAAAAAGAACCAGACAACTAATGTTATGGGGAGATGTTGCTTCAGATAGCCATAGTTAAAAGTCAGGGATGAATGAAGCATCACAGAATCTCTTGGGATTATAAAGATTTGGGTACAATAACGGCACAAATTAACCCATTAATTCAAAAATAATGCAGCATCATTTTGACTTGACCCGCAGTCAGTCCGGTGGGGTTCCAAAGGTTCAAGTAGAGTCATCATTGATATTTATTAGTCCTTTATTTATCTAAAAAAAATCTCATTGAGATTAAAAATCTCATTTCCGAGAGAGACCTGGCAAGTCTTAAGTCTACAAACTTGTGAGTTGTGTAAATATCAGATTTCTAATGTTATTAGTCTGCCTAAAAACATTTTTTGTGATGAGGTTAGTGGCATTTTCTTTTGAGCCAACACAGACGCTCTGAGGCGGAACACCTTTTCAAATTTTGAATATGCAGATAAAAAAAGTAGCTCCAGAGAAAATTCTGCTCAGAAAAGGTTTGGAAACGCCCCTAACGTCATCAGAAAAATATTGTCATGACCAAACTAGAGATGCAGAGGTAAAATTTGGCAGTTTTTCTGTGAGAAATATCATTATTGTAGTATTATTGAAGGGTCTGTACCTTACAATATAAAGCGATTTGAGGTGAGAGTTGTTTATCTAAATGAACTGAAGTGAATTTAGGAAGTATATTACAATCCTTGAATTTTTCAATGTAAAACAGACGGTGAGACTGGGAAATTTTCTTATATTGGATCATTTTTTAAATGTCTGTGAAGGTTCTCAGTCATCCAGGTCATCGTAGTTTGAGGCGCTTGGAAAGAAAAGCATCTGGAGAAACTTAAAGTCCAGATGCTTTTCTTTCCAAGCTCCTTAGATCAGTTTCTAAAGAATGAGTCTAAATTGTATAAATGGGAGTATGTTCATGCCTTTAGGATTCTAGTTGAACTTTTATGCCATTTTATATTCTTAATGAATTATAATCAAGAATATGATCTATAAAGTAGAAGCAATTCAAAGATCTGAAAAATAAAAACTGTTGATTTGACACAAGAAGTGTGCACGCATAAATCTCGTGCATACCTCTCTGCGTAAATATCACCAGGTCCAACATAGCAAGATTTCTTTGAGACTTTATGGAAAAGTGACAAGGATGCTTCTTTAGATTTGAAACCGGCATGTTAAGATGGAGATTAATAGGACAGAAAATGATCTAACTGCTATTTCTTTTCTAACAGAAACACTAAAAATGACTGGCTCCAGATTTTAAATGTAGTGTTTTAAGGATCGGTTCATCGATGACGCCAAACAAGACATTTAACTGTGCTCCCCTAACACAGTCAAACAAGAACAGTTGCATTCATCACTTTCAGCCAATGTAGGACCAAGTTCCTACTTAGTGACACTTTATAAATACAGGCCCAGCTGTTTCAGTGCAGATGTTAATAATATAAAAATCTTTTTGCACACTTCAGTCAAGACATGTGAAAAGTGGTTTCATTGAAAGTTGAACGTGTCACACTTTACAGCACAGAGAATAAACGTCACTGCTAATCACTGCAATTACACAAAGTCCAGCTTCAGGAAAAAGTCATTTAAAGGCAGCGGGTGAGTTTTAAGACAGGACCGATGTTATAGTGTGAAAACATTAGAGCGTCACAGTCAGCCATTAGCGCGTTTTTTACATTCTGCCGTGTGGGTGTTTGTGTCCAGCTTCGATCAAATGGGATCAATGACTTTCCAGCCTTCTGCTCACTTGCTGTTGCCCCGGGACGTTCGCTGTTTGGTCATCGTCGTCAGCATCTGGCTGATGTAAGAGGTCAGGAGGTCGTCCATTTTGTAGCCCTGATGGATGAGAATACATTAATGATTGCTTTGTGGGATGTGCGGCTCTTTTCACTGTATAAGGATCTATTATTATTCACACAAGATCACTGATTTGACTTTCCCATAACTTTTCCTGTGACGTTAGAACTGTTACTTCACCCCTTTTTCTCTGAGCTGTAATCAAGTTTGAAGTTAAAAAGAGAGCACAGGTAACCATGCAAAATCCTTTCAGACACCACACTCAAAAAAAACTTGATTACACATGAAATAAATGACTGATTCAAATGTGAACGCAAAGCTTTTGCTTCCTGCAGAGCGTAATCTTGTTGGTGGAACACGTGATAAACGAGAGAGTCTACAGAAAAGACAGACAATTAGATCTGCTGGCACGCTGCCTTCACTGCTCAGGCTGTGCATAATCACATTAAAAGCAGCTTTGTTTGGAAAGCTAAATGCTCACACTCTTTGTTTCATGTTACAAAAACTAAAGAGCTCACCAGGGACGTTTCACACAGCAGCTTGCTGCCTCGCACCAGGTTTCCAATGGTGATGTGAAAGTACGTGTTGCCGCTGCTCCAGTTGGAGATCTTGGTGAAAGGGTGAGTGATGAGGATGTCCTACAGGAAATTTTGATAAGCCGGATAAGAGAATAATCCAGTGCTAAACTTGACATACAAAGAAATATTTGCAGGTTTAAAACAAAAACTAATTGCGAAAAAAAAGTGCTTTGAGTGCTCAGATATTTAATTCAAAGGAACAGCTGCCTCAACGTGCTTTATATTGTAAGGTAAATACAATACAATAATACAGAGAGAAACTACAGTAATAGAAAAAGGCACCAACAATCAGAAAAGCCCCTATGAGCAAGGACTTGGCAACAGTGGGAAGGAAAACCTCCGTTTTAACAGGAAGAAACCCCTGGAGGAAAACAGGCTCAGGGAGGAACAGAGCAGCAAAGCGCTCTATCAATACAGATCGATTTAAATATCAAAGATAAACGTGTTCCACCTTAGACTTGGGATCAATCAGACTGACTCCATGTTTGTTGATTGCTATCAGGAGGGTTTCTGGGTAATTAGGATCAGTTGTTTGCTGCAGAAAAAGCAAAACGGAAAAACCAAAAATGCGAAGTTTGTCACAGTGATGTGCTGCTTTTTTAAAAGTGAAAGAAGATAAAAGAGCAGGAAACAGTGAATGCAGAAGTTCCAAGCTTTCATAAACTAACGAGTCTCTAGCGTCTTTACCTTGACTTCGAAGAAGGCCGAACCAAACGTGGGCCACTTGTAAATGATTTTGAGGAAGGAGAGTTTGGCTTCTTCCCGAGTCTTCCCTGAGTGCTTGTTGAACAGCGACACGATGGACTGAGACACAAAACAACAGGAAGATGAAACACTCATTCACTCTTTTTGCACACAGGCTTGTAAGTGATTACCTGTAAAAGTAGCAAGCAGCTGTGGGATATGTTTTGGATTTTAATGTTTTCAAACTCCCAGAGAGCTCTGAAAACAATAAAGCCTCTTTTTGGGGTGTGGGATGACGTC